GTGTGAGAGAGAGAGAGAGAGAGAGAGATGCCCAGTAATGGCATCCCATTTACCTTGACTCTTGTCCTACACTTCCTGCATTGGGCTCCAGCCCCCCTCCCCATACTGATAAAGAGTTATGAAAAATGGATGGATGTGAATCCATCTGTAAAAATCAATAGACAAATGGCTTCTGTAGTGAGCTGAGAGACTTCAGCTGGGACCTGAACGTTCCACGCTTGGGTCCCAAAAGGAAAGGTGTTGCTGGCAGTTTAAACGGCTAATTTGGGAACAAATGACGTTCATCAATAACTACAAGTATGACTGTGGAGGTCCAGGATTCAGGCAGGATGCCTCTGAGAAGTAACTGTCACTCAGTCAGGATCAATGTATGTTTATGTCGCTCCCGTCCCAGGGCAGCTGGCCCAAAGCAAACGACAAAGGTCTAACGACCAAAACGGCAAGGCAGCCGGACATCATAGCCGTTAATGCTGTAGAGTATCAGTGTCTGAGCATAAAAGAGCAAGAGACATCCGATGAGCGGGAACACGAGTGATTGCTGTTCTCCGGTGAAATGATATCTGTCTGGCTTTGTAAAGCCAGAAATGCATTTAATGCTGGGAATTTTATATGATGCTAATCAGGTTTTTTAAGCGTAGCGACGGGGCTCCATGATGTCAGCTTGTGACTGGTGCAGTCAGCTAGTGAAAGCCAGGACTCTGGTGACTTTCCTTGTCCTCCTATCCCTGTCTGTGTTATATCGGCGTGTATAATTACACAGCGGTGATGTCATGCAGCATGCAGATGAGACCCTAAAGCTAAGCTAAAGAAACCACAAAAAAAGTTACACCTGTTCATCCCGGGAAGGGGTCAGACTTCTGCCCTTGTGTCACCAATGACAGGGACAACGTACAATACGTGTTCTATTCTGGTAAAAACGTGCAGGACATTTTTCTGCACCTAAGTTGGTCTCTCTGGGGGTGATTCCTGGTACTACAGCATTCCTACTCCATACTGTGTTTTTGCGGGAAACCCGGTGCTGTTGATTTAAAAAAATACTCAAAGCAGATTTATTGCTTCCGATTGCGTTGGAAAAAAAAAGGGGGGGGGGGGGCTGAAACGCAGCACGCAGACCTGCGATCGACCCTCACCCAGTTCCCCTCCCTCCCTTTGCTTCCGGAGAGGAAGAAAGTGAAAGAGAGGCAGAATCGCAGGGGCAGTGGGATGAAAGGAGAGGACATGGGGAGGGGGGGTTGTGGTGGTGTAGGGTTTGGGGGAGGAGAGAGTCCTTAGGGGTCACAGATTGAAATAATGAAAAGACCAGTGGACGTTCCAGACCCTGGGCCTCCTGTCCCACTGACTCATGGGGGGGTGCTCCATACAGCCACACCCGGCCCATGATGGGGGGGTCACACAGAAATCTCATCAAGAGTATCCATGGTGAAAACACACTCCGGCAGATAAGCCAGTTATTTTACCTGGTAAAACCGCATCACCTCCTGAGAAGTGACACACTGGTGCGAAGCAGACACACTAGTGCGAAGCAGTCTGGGATTCACACTCACTACACTACTGCCGTGCACCTGGTCTCATGCCTTGTAGGTGGTCCTAACGAATTTAGGGTGTGTGCATGTGTGTGTGTGGGGAGGGGGACTCCTAATTAAGCAGCTTCTGCTGGTCTGTCAGAGGGGTGTGGCCACCCAGCTCACAAAAGCCACTCCTTCTGTTCATAGTGCATTATCTCTGATTGGGTGGGGGTGGGGGTGATCTTTTCGGAGTCCTCCCCTCCCTCTAGCATGGGTTTCCAGGGCTGTTTGTCCGAGGCCAGTCTGATTTTTGCCACTTGACCCACGGGAGTCATGCAGACAGTAAGTGGACAGGCAGAAATTTCTCCTGAAAACTGGTTGTCTGAGGGAGTGAGGAAGAGGAGGAGAGTGAGAAATAGCAGGAAAGAGGAAGAGGAGGAGAGGGAGAAATAGCAGGAGAGAGGAAGAGAAAGACACAGAGTGCAAGAGAACGGGAAAGTGGGTAGACACTTTTGTGGATTTTATTCTGACATCTCAAACATCGTCATTCTCTGTGTCTTAAAGGTGTCCATTTACCTGCCTGCTGGGGACACACAAAGCGCAGGCTTAAGCACAGGGCTACTTTGTGTCCTGTGATGGGACAGACATTGTAATCAGTCCTTTGTTGGCCTGCCATCAATCACAGGGTAGTTTTTCCATTAAGAACATCAAGGAGGTTCTTAACTCATCTGTGTAATTGTTTTTTATTTATTTCGCCTTAAATAAAATAATATCAGAATAATCTGAAGTGCCACAGAACTCTGAATACTGAATAATCACAATTATACACTCCATTTTAAATGTACAGTCTGTTTAAGATCTTAATTATCTGTAATCAGTTATCTGAATTTAGTTTATTGCAATTTATTGCAATTCATTTAAAATAGCATTTTAGTATTTGTATCTATCTTAACATTTACAGTTAAAGTAGTTTTTCCAACTAT